CTTGCCAGCACTTGTTGTTTGACTTCATAGTGGCTGCCAATCTTACTGGAGTGAGACGGTATCTTAGGGTGGTTTTGATTTGCATTTCTCTGACTGCTAGAGATGATGAGCATTTTTTCATGTACTTATTGATTGATTGTATGTCCTCCTCTGAGAAGTGTCTGCTCAGGTCCTTGGCCCATTTGTTGATTGGGTTATTTGTTATCTTATTCTTTAAATTTACATAGAATATCCACCAATGTATCGTCGCCCTAATCATTCTACAGTAGAAACTGGCACCTTTCTTAAGTGGATGGATTGTGCATGTCAGTAGAACATAAGATATCTAGAAATAGTGGATATCTTAGGCTGGTCTCTAAAATGGACAAGAACAATCACATGAGGATGCCATAATTCCTAGAAACGTTAACTATATGTGAGATGGCATCCAAAAATGTTTTGATGTTTGACTTCTGTCTTCAAAAATATTTATATTATTGACAGACCAATAAACTCCCTAAATGTGAGAATTAAGGGGAAGGATGATGGGCTGGGGCTATAGCTCAGCGGCAGAGCACTTGCCTATCATGCATGAGGCACTGGATTTGATCCTCAGCACACATAAAATCAACAAATAAAATAAAGGCATTCTATCCATCTACAACTACAACATTTTTTTTTAAAAAGAGGAAGGATGATGAATATCCTGTAGCCTGTAAGAATACAACTTATCTTATTGTATCACTAGTTATTGCCAGCTGATATTTCAGAGCTATAATATGCTGAAGTTAATATTCAGGCTTTGAAACAGGTGCATGTCAATTAACCAGAACTAGGCAAGCTGCTGATCTCATGATCCTTAAAGTGACTAAATATTATTCCTTGCTTCTACAATTACAGCCTTTATGGCTATGTCTCAAACTTACAACATATTGGGTTTTCTTAATATTTGACTTAAATTACTTCCAAGATCCTTCATAGTCAGAGAAGTGCTGATGGAAGGACGGGAACTAAATTAAAATGTTCTAGAAGCCACTGTAATAAATATTGTGACTGAGCCCTCTGCCCTATGGTTTATGGAAAGGCTTAAATGCCATGCCAAATGAAAATGTGTTACTATGGCCAAACACAATGCTTCCCAATAAAATTGGGAAAAAATTAAGAATCTTCTGATGAGTGTTTGACAGAGTAATAATAACCCGAATCTTCCAAGTTGATTGTATTATTGAAATGATATGTTTTCTACTAATTTTCTTTTGCATTTCCATAGTAGACTATGATGATCTCAAACCAAGAATCCAGTGACTGAAAGATGTAATTCCCCAGTTGCTTTTTTTTATATTAAGAAAGGGGGAATATGTGGGGGAGCCACTCTGAATGATTCGCACCTTCTATCCTGTAATGGTCAATCATATCTATATGTTGATTGGCTTTGACAGGTCACTACCTTTCATAGTGATCTGGACATTGCCCCAGTCCAGGAAGTTTGAGGGCATATCTTCAGATGTAGGGATCACCCATAGAGTTGAGCCACACTCACCTGTTCCTTTGTAATATTACCCCTTTGCTGTTTGGGATAGAATGTTCCATGGAARCTACCTTTGTGTGTCCCCCTTCTCTTGCTCTGCCTTTGGGTGTGGCCTTCCTAGATGTCAGTGACCTGCTGACAGCAGACATCAGGAAGCTGGACTCAACCCCTGACACCTAACCCCTGGCCTCATTTGAATGGCTTCTCCTCAATAAAAGGGTTYAGCACGTGCTCTCTCTTTCTGTGGACCCTTAAGGTCAGAAGAGCCATCACAGGACCCAAAGAAAAAGGTATCTCTGTCTTGTGTGATTATTTAGTGCAGCCCAGTTCCCCTGGAGTGACCCTGAGTGTTTTAGACCTGAAGAATGCGACAGTAAAAGCGGTCTTCATCCCTTCATCAAGGAAGAGGGCGCTAACCCTGGCTAAGTGGGTAAGAGCCCACGTGCTTCCAGAACATGCTTACAGCTGAGACTAGTGCCATGGGCCAGTTTCACTCATCTGTCCTTTGTAACCCTGCCCATTCTGCCCTTTTTAGGATAGAACTTTCTAAAGAACAAGAGTCCTCCCAATAAAAGCCGACTTCCAAACATGCTCTCTCTCTCTTACCAGTCTCATGACTTTCTCTTTTGGGGATCCTGAGGCAGAGAGTGGAGGAGCCATCCTGAAGCTTTTGTAAAGGTAATTTGTGTCTGTTTTATTTGTTGTTCCTGCAAATTCACATGAGCAATCTTAAGTTCGGCTGCCCACACAGGCCAGCAGGGGGGTGGGGGGAGTGGCACCGACCTGGAGTGCACACTCCAGGATTGGAGCCTGAGCTCCTGCCAGAGCCAGCTCTCAGACAAATGATTAGGAGGCTCTTTGGGCCCCTGAAGGACTTGCTGGGTCGAGAAGAGCTGAGTGGAAGGCACATGCTAGAAGGATGAGAAGCTTGCCTGAGGTCCAGCCCTGAGCATGCCTGCTGTCCCAGCTCCCATGCAGTGGTGAGGCAGGCACCTGGGAGCCGTGAGGATGGGGCAGAGGACAGCACACAGCGTGAGCACAGCCCTAGCCACTGGCTCCTCTTCTGGCCCATCTCACCACCCTGACAGGCCCCTGGGTGCTGAACTCACTTCTTATGCGCTGGAACCTAAACTTCTACCACTGCTCAAGCCAAGTGCACCGGGCAGTTAGATGAGGGAACAGCTGTGATCTCAATCCTGGGGAACCTGGGCAAGGCTGGCAGAAGCACTGGAGCACACATTGAGACCTTGCATGCATCTTGGTGCATTCTCTTGGGCCAAGAGGGACATAGAGGTAAGTAAAGCACCAACTCAGAGTGGCTCACAGAACAAGTTGGGGGTGAGTTGGGAAGGAGAGATGTCGTGGCTGGTTCCTGGGTGACAGGAGAGGGCCTGGTGCCTGGGGCACTCCAGGTAGCCTCACCCCACTTACCCTTATCTTCAAAACACCCAGGATGTTTCTTCCACTCTCCCAGAGGTGCATAATGTGTGCATTCCAGAGGCCTGAGGAGGAAGCTCAGATGCCCTCACAGCCAGGGCCCCCAGGCTCAGGACTAAGCTATCTGCCCAGAACAGGCCATGCTGAGTACCAGTGTGTGTAGACTGACATGGGATGGGAGACTGCTGGGCCTCTTCCTTCTGCCTCCCACAYACTTTCCATGCTGCTCTTCACCAGGTTTCCTGTAAAAGAGCCAAGGAGCCCAAAAGTGTGTCCTGCTCTAGATAGACCGCATTCTGCTCTGAGAAAGCATCTCTTCACCTTTCATTTCCTAAAAAAGCTCTTCCTCTGCTAAAACCTGATACATTTTCTTGAGCCTGGAAGATCCAAGCAGGGGTCTCCTTGGTCTCTGGAGGGACTTCCTTGAGCCCCCTGATGGTGACACCCTGGCTGTCTGGCCCCTGCTTGGATCTTCCAGGCTCAAGAAAATGTATCAGGTTTTAGCAGAGGAAGAGCTTTTTTAGGAAATGAAAGGTSAAGAGATGCTTTCTCAGAGCAGAATGCGGTCTATCTAGAGCAGGACACACTTTTGGGCTCCTTGACTCTTTTACAGGAAACCTGGTGAAGAGCAGCATGGAAAGTGTGTGGGAGGCAGAAGGAAGAGGCCCAGCAGTCTCCCATCCCATGTCAGTCTACACACACTGGTACTCAGCATGGCCTGTTCTGGGCAGACAGCTTAGTCCTCTGCCTGGTGATCTGCACCTGAAGTGACAGTTGGTCCCTGCTTGTGGAAGAAAACAAAGCCAGATGCTGAAGACAGTAGAAACAGGTTTACTCAGTGACCACTGCAACAGAGGAAAGAGGTCTGTGCAGAACTGGCCTTGACTAAAACCCTTGCAGAAAAGGCTAAGAGAGTAGGGAACAGAAAGGCCAAGAAGCCAGGAAGGTGGAAAACCGCAGAAGAGACAAAACAAAATCAATAAAGACAAAAAACCGTCTGAGTTGCTTAACTGATGCTCATCGAGCCTTCAGCAGGGTGGCAGGCAGTAAGGCCCATGGGACTGGAAGCAGTCTCCCTGTGTGCGCCACGTCAGAGTAGCCCTAGGCCCTGGGAGGTAGAAAGCTGCACAAAGCAAGCTCACTGAGCCCTCGTTGCCAAGTCTTCTGAGTCCTGAGACGAAATTCAGTCATATCAACATGTTCTGTGAGCAGAGTCACCATCTAGACAGGCAGCTAGCGACACTAAACTGAGCCCAATAGCTGCCCTGGGGAGATGCAGTCAAGATTACACATGCTCCACTGATAGGCAATCTATCTGGGTTACATCCCTCAGGGACAAGGACAGTCCCTGGACAAAGCTCTGAAGCACACTGCTGTCAAGGAAGAGGGCACTAACCCTGGCCTAAGTGGGTAAGAGCCCACATGCCTCCAGAACATGCCTACAGTTGAGACTGGTGCCATGGGCCAGAACATATGCCAGTACTGCAGTGTGTCTCATGTACTTTGGGGAGGCCTGTGCGCTGTGGTCTCAGTTGCTCTGAGACAAACTCAAGACATGCCCAACGTGACAGGTTCACCAGAGTGGTTGGCGGAGCAGCAGGTTCTTGTGAAGTCAGTTTCAGTCACTGTCACAATCATGAGCTGTGGACAGCCCAAGCCTTCCCATGGTGTCTTGTGTGATCCAGGAGTGACAGGCCAATGTGCTTTACTCAGACCACCTCTCAAGGTTGTGTTGGCAGGAAAAATCCTGAGTTAAAACCCCAGCTCCTTGGGGCTGGGTCTACAGCTCAGCAGTAGAGCGCTCATCTCACACATTCAAGACACTGAGTTCAATCCTCAGCACCACATAAAGATTTAAATAAAGATATTAAAAACAAAACAAAACAGGGCTGGGGATGTGGCTCAAGCGGTAGCGCGCTCGCCTGGCATGCGTGCGGCCCAGGTTTGATCCTCAGCACCACATACCAACAAAGATGTTATGTCTGCCGAGAACTAAGAAATAAATATTGAAAATTCTCTCTCTCTCTCTCTCTCTCTTTAAAAACAAAACAAAACAAAACAAAACCCCAGCTCCCACCAGAGCAGGCTCTTACCACTCACCATGAAGGTGGCTACTCCCCATTTGTTTCTCAGCTGGCATGCCCACCATGTGTACCCACCCAGGTGGCACACAGAGTAGCCAGAGAAGCCCTGGCCACTACTGTAACCTGCTTTCCATCTCCAGATCTATTGAGGAGCAGTGGGCTCTCCATGGCTTCCAGAAAGGGCACATTCTTTGGCTCTCTCAGTCCTTGCAGTTTTTGGTTCAGGCTGAGAAGTTTCAAGAAAATGTGCCACGMAGCACAAATGCATCTTGACCTCTCCAGATGTGTCCCCTGCAAAGTGGGGCACTGGACCAAACAAGATGGTTCTCCAGCCCAGGGCCCTGTGTTCCACCCACTGTCACAAGTGCTTATCCTCTGCCAGGGACAAAAAGATGGGTTCCTTACATCAACAGCACACATTTTCGGGTAAGCAAAAAAGCTCCAAGTTTCAGGGAGGCAGAAAGATCCTGGGTCACACAGCAAGCTCCTGGACAACAGGTGTGACTTTTGAGACCCTTGCTCCATGAATGCCAGCTGCACCCACACTGAAGGACAAACTCAGGACCCAGCCTACCTCTTAAGGGGATAGGGCTAGCCCTGGGTGGCTCTACCCAGAGATGACTTTTAAGAGAAGCTGTCAGGCAAAGCAGTCAGAAGTGAATTCTAGGAATGCCACTTCTGGATGTCTTCTAACAGCGCCAACATGTCCTCATTGTTGAAGCCCTTTGAGGTGACTTCCTTAACCTGCTATGTGGCAGGGCTCATACGGTCCCCCTCATGCCTGCTCCTCTAAGTGGGCCCTTGGCCCTGCCCTCTATAAACCCAAAACTACAGACACCACCCTGAGTGTGAGGGGTACAGGCTTTATTTAATGGGTAAATAAACATTTTGCATGAAGCAGGACATTCTTAACAACAATTCTGAATCCATCCCAACACTCTATTTTCCTGCCACTATAAATGACCTCATGTAACATAAGCAAGTTAAGGCTGCAGGTTTACTCACATCTATTCATTCCTACAGATGGAAGGTCTATCACATGTGTGTTTTCTGATGTTGTGTAAGCCTCGAGCTACGGTTAAAAGCTTTGCCACAGTCGTTGCACTTGTAAGGCTTCTCTCCAGTATGAATCCTCTGGTGTATGATCAGATGTGAGCGCCACCTGAATATCTTCTCACAGTCACCACACTGGTGCAGTTTCTTTATGGTGTTAACCTTTTTACGGCTCACGAAGGTGGAACCTTCCAGGGTGTTCCCATATTCATAGTACCATTGGGCTCTAGTGTGTATTCTCTGGTGTTCGATAAGATAAGAGCTCCGACTGAAGGCCTTTCCACATTCGCTACACTCGTAGGGCTTCACTCCTGCATGAATTATCTGGTGTTGGAAGAGGGTTGAGTTCTGACTGAAGGCTTTCCCACATTCGGTGCACTTGTAGGGCCTCTCCCCGGTGTGCACCCTCTGGTGGATGGTGAGCTGCGTGCTCATACTGAAGGCCTTCCCACACTGGAGGCACTCATAGGGCTTCTCTCCCTTGTGGATCCTCTGATGGTAGATGAGGCTGGAGCTCTGGCTGAATGCTTTCCCACAGTCATGGCACACGTAGGGCTTCTCTCCCGTGTGGATCCGCTGATGCTGGATGAGGTGTGAGCCCTGAACAAAGCCTTTCCCACACTCGTCACATTTGAATGGCTTTTCTCCAGTGTGAGTTCTCTGGTGGCGAATGAGTCGTGAGCTACACCCAAAGGCTTTTGTGCACTTATTGCATTTATAAGGCTTCTCTCCAGTGTGAATCAGCTGGTGCTGGCTCAGGCGAGAGATCCACCGGAAAGCCTTCCCACACTCATTGCACTTAAAGGGCTTTTCCACAGTGTGACTTGTCTGATGCACAACAAGGCTTGGGCTCTCTGAGGCTCTGAGCATCTGAGATCTCTCCCCGGCGTGCATCCTCTGGTGCTGAGCTAGAGTTGAGCTCTGGCTGAAGGCCTTGCCACACTCCTTGCACAGGTAGGGTCTCTCTCCGGTGTGAGTTCTCTGGTGTCTGACTAGTTGAGACTGCTGGCTGAAAGCCTTCCCACACTCCYGGCAGCCATAGGGCCTCTCTCCTGTGTGGATCCTCTGATGATGGATGAGGCTGGAGCTCTGACCGAACGCTTTCCCACATTCCTCACACCTGTATGGTTTCTCTCCAGTATGAATTCTCTGATGCTGAATTAGTTTTGAGCTCAGGCGGAAGGCTTTTCCACATTCCACACACTTGAATGGTTTCTCCCCAGTGTGGATTCTCTGGTGTTGATTAAGCTGTGAACACAGCCTGAAGACTTTTCCACACTCCTCACACTCATATGGCTTCTCTCCACAGCAGTTACTTGAAAGTTTCCCCTGAAAGCAGCCAGACAATTGTTTTTGGCATTCTTGACAGCAGTTAGGCTTCTCCTGTACACTAATTTCCTGGTATGGAGCCAGATCTGGAGTGTGTCCAAAGTCTCTGCCGCACACCTGGCATTGCTGTGACATCCCTTGAGCACCAGCTCTCTGACCTTTACCAGGCTGACAGCTGAGGCCACTGGCCCCCAGCTCCTGGGATTCCTGTGTAGTGTCCTTGGTGAAGGTTTTGGGAGCCACGGACCCCTGAATCAAACACTGTTTCTGGAGAAGGGAGCCCCTTTCTCTCAGCACAGGGCTGCTTGGAAGTCTCTCTGACCAGACCTCAGAATTGGAAGTGTCTGCAGAGCCAGGACCCTGAGGCTTCAGAAAGTCCATGTCCCCCTGCTCATGTGCAAGCCTAACAGTAGAATCTGAAATAAACAGGAAATGAAAATACTCTATATGTACTGAGCTCACAGAAAGGGCAAAGACTGAAGTGGTGGGGAAGGCCAGCCCTTCCTAGGATGGGCTGCATGGAGCACTGCTACACACCACAAGGGGAGATGTATGCAAGAAGAGGTACTTGGAGAGGCCTCATACTTGGCTTCATTGATGCTTTTTGGTCCATAGTGGTGAAGTGCTCCTCTCTGCTAGGCAGAGTGGTGGGAGTTGCATGACCTAAGAGGCGTTTGTGAGAAGAGGTGCATCCCAGGGGCACTGTGAAGAATGCAAAATGGGACCGGACAAAGCCAACCTGAAGGTGGAAAGTTTGCCAACAAGGATACTTAGAGGGAGTCAGAGGTCCCCAGCATCCCAGCTAGTAAATGGGAAGGTAGAAAAAGGTCTGACCTGTGAATGAGGGAATGGGCAGGAATGGGAGACTGAGGCTGTAGAGCTGCAGGGGGTTACCCAGGGAGCTTAGAAGAGGGCAGAGTGCCTGGGCTGCCTATGGCTACTCTCTGCTCCCTCCAGCTGCCACTCATTTGCACCTGACACTCCTTGCTAGGCTGGAAGCTGAGTGGTCACACCCAGCAGACCACACTGACTTCCCTTTCCCTGTGACAGGTTTCTGGAGGGTCCAACCCATCAGTCCCCCAGGAAGCCTTCCTGACATCTGCTTTCCTCCTGGACTTTCCTTCAGGCTCCTTCCCACTCCAAAATCCCAGAGACCACTTCTCCATGATCATAATCACACAGTCACAGTCACAGTCACAATCAGCCTGGTTCCACCCACAGCAAATTCACAACCCAGTGAGGGCTTCAGCCTCACACCTACCTAACTCTTCTGCATGATGGGAACAGATCCCAGTGGTTGCTAATTGGTCTTCCACAACCCAGTGAGGTTGGCAGAAGCCTCACCCACGGGAGGCAGACTGGCTCAGAGCTGAGCAGCTTGCACAAGGCCATGATGATGAGGACAGCATTTGGAGCCTCAAGGAAGCCTTCTCCCACCCCAGCCTCACAGAAAAGTTGCTCCCAGAAAAGTTGCTCCCTGGGCAGGGTTTGCTCATCCCTCCTCCAAAGCCTTCCTCTGCCTGGAGGTGAGAAAGCGGAACACTAAGACTCCCAGCAAGTACTGCTCCTGCTCTTCCCCCTGCCAGAAACTCAGAGGACMAAAGGAGAGTGAGATGCATCCCTGGTAGGGCTAAGGCCTGGTGGAAATGCCCAGGTCTTGGGCTACACAGAACCAAGCAGCTCACAGTCACTTGCAACCACCAACCAAAGGACCAGGACATCATAGACAACCTGGCTATGCTCATATTTTTCACGCTCTGGGTCCCTGTGTCTACATCCAAAAGAGGCTTGATGTACATTTCCCAGTTCTGCCCTGACCCTGCACAACACCAGGCCATGGCCCCACCTTGTCCTGCTGCCCAGCCTCCTGCAGCCTCCTCTCTTGGCAGCCTCTGACCTCCTGCCTGGCCCATTTCTCTCTGACCCGATTTAGCACTGACAGCTCCTGCATGGCACCCCTGTAACTGAAGCTCAAGGTCCTCTCCCCTTCCCTGGAACATGAAGGTCCTTCTCCAGCAAACTCTGGGCAATCCCTGGGAAAAGGCAAGCACTATGAAAAAGCAAAGCATCTTTGGAAGAGGGAAAGGCACAGCAGGGCCTGACTTATGACTCTCTTGTCACTACTGGGAACAAGGAGCTAGGAGTCACACATCAGGGGGCTCTGGTGGTAGGCAAGGGCATGGGGAGGGACTGCTGCAGACTCTGCCCTCTGCCCACTGTTCCCTCTAGTCCCCTTTGATATCTGATGCCAGCTGTGACCAGTCGGGGACAAAGAACTTGCCTGAGTATTTCCTTTACTCCATGCCTCTGGCTGTGTGCTCCTGTATACTGTACTCTAGGGCCCACAATCTCGTCCTGAGACCACTATGGTTACCCTGTGTTTGCTTCATCCCCTTATGGGTACAACTTGCTGCACATAAACCTATCAAGCTGTCGTCTTCTGCCCACTGCAGCTGGCTTTTCTGCCACATTGTGCTCTCCACAACCTTCCTCCACCATGCAGGCACCTTACTGGGAGGCTTGGTTTTAACTGGCCACCCTCCAGCTTTGTCTCCTCCCCAGGGAGGATCAGAAGGAACCTTTGCAGGAGGGACAGAGGGGAACATGGAAATAGATGGCTGCACTCATAGTAATTTAACATGAGGATGTCAGGCGGCCCCTAATCCAATAAGAATGGTGTTCTTATAAGGAGCTGGCTACATAGGAGAGACAAACAATAAGAAGGCTGCCAAGTGAAGGAGGCAGGGTCTGGAATGGCACATCTACAAGCCAAGGAACACCAACAACTGCAAGAGGTCCCCAATCCTGGAAAAGGCAACAAGGGCCAAGCCCTGCAGACTTCTGGGCTCCACAGTGAGACATTTGTTGTTGATTTGTGTTACTCTGCTGCAGCAGCTGCAGGAGGCCAGTGCACCAGGGTCTGATCTGAGGGGCTTGGTTCCCCAGGCCCCAAGAAGTTCCAGAGACAGCAGTAGGGGCAATTTGTTTGAGTAGAGGAAGTGGAAAGCAAAGTTTAATGCTTCCTCAGATCCACAGATTTGTGCCTTTCTTCAATAGGTATATTAGCAAAATTAGAAACTGAACAAAATGTGTACAATTTCAAAAAACAAACTTTTTGCTGAATGCACAGGTTTTTGTGTTCTTGCCATTACATGGAAGTCCCACACCTGTTGTGCCTATGCCACCCCCAGCAGCCCAGTCAAGCCCTTGGGATTCACCCCAACCTTCCACTTCTCTAGTTCCCACTTTTGGGAAGGCTACTCCTTCCCAAAGGCTCTCTGCTATAGGACCTATACCTCACCTGTCTGGGAGGTCCATGGTGCTTCTGTCCCCTCAACTCCCTGCAGGTCGATAACCCATGGCTCTTGTCCCTGTTCCAACCGAGAGATCAGCTCAGGTTTGAAGACCAGGAATCCTGCTGTGTGTGGTCAGAGAAGGAGATGCTAGGAGCATGGCTAGTGCTTGACATCCCCCCAAAATAAAAAGGGTGAGCTACCCTACCAGATATTAGCACATACTAGCCAGAAGCAGTGATGCATCTGCAGTCCCAGTCACTTGGGAGGCTGAAGCGTTCCAAAAACCAAAGCAACAAAACAAAAACAAACCAAGCAGGAAGCTGGCCCACAGACTCTCAGAAAAGAATAGCGCAGAAACACGCTACTTCATATTTTAAGAGCATCAACAGGAAAAGGAGATTGTCAGCAATTCATGTAGGGGAAATGTTTCAATGCTCAGACAAAAATAAAACAGGATTTCTCCTTAACTCCAACACAATGGTGGAGCCTTGATATTAATAAGGAAGATAAACTGTAAAATTCACAGGAGAAAATGTAGGCCATCTCAAAGAGCTTGAAGTAGGGAATAACTAATAAAACCTCAAAGGCACAAGCTATAAGACAAAACCCAAAGTATATTATGTGAAAATGTGACAGGGCTGGGAATGCAGCTCAGTGGCAGAATGCTCACTTAGCAGGCATGAAGCCCTGGCAGGCTCAATCCCCAGTACTGAAAACAACAAAAAACAAAAAACTAACCAGCATTACCAAACATGAGAGAAGGGTAAAGGTACAATGTGAATCGGTGTGGTGTTCACCTTTGAGATACTGTAAGATAGACTTTGTATAAAATGCTTTCACACCTCTAAGCCTCAGGGACATCTTAGAATTGAAGTCAGAAGCCTTCCAGCAACTGGTAAAAGATGTGACATGTCACTGCTGCCCACACAAGCTGCATTTATCTGCTCTGTACACTGTCTTCAAAAAATTTATTCTGGCCAGGCATAGTGGCACATGCCTGCAATCCCAGCGACTCAGGAGGCTGAGGCAGACAGATCACAAGTTTGAGGCCAACCTCAGAAACTTAGGCAAGATCCTCAGCAACTTAGTTGAGACTCTGTCTCAAAAAATAAAAAGGGCTGGGGATGTAGCTCAGCTGTAAAGTGCCACGCATTCAATCTCCAGTACCAAAAAAGAAAAACATTAATTTAGTAGCTTAAGAAAAAAGAGGCTTTATTAACTCTCAGAATTTCACCTACCAGTGAAGGCTGAGTCACCTGACATGTGCAAAGTCTRGAGCCAGCCTAGCACAGGTTTGAGGCCCCTATTTAGCCCAAGACAGTCTGAGCACTCAGCCTCCCCCACATCTGATGCAGGCCTGGCTGTGTGGGTGCTGACTGACTGTGCAGGGGAGGGGGACCAAGGTGCCACCTCACCTAGTCCGGCCACGCTGCTGTGGTTCTCCAGCATCACCTCCCTGTAGAGGGCCTTCTGGCCAGAGTCCAAACACTGCCACTCCTCCCGGGAGAAGTGCACAGCCACGTCACCAAATGTCACCGCCTCCTGAAAGGACAAACACCAGCACCCCAGGGATCCCTGGGTGCCAGCCCCATTCTTGCACGGCATCACAGCATATCTCAGGCAGGTGCACCAAGGGGTTGGGCAAGAGTTGCCCAGCTCCTTCCTCCAAAATCAGAGGAAAGGGAAATTTAAGAGGAGAGGAGGGACCTGGCTCTTGGTAACCATATGACCCTCCCTCTCACAAGCCTCAGATCTGGCAGAGGTTTGCTCACTGCCTTTGGGGTGCCAAGGGGGGTGCCTGAGCCTGGCAAGAGCCAGTGAGGGCTGAGGGTGGGTCTGGGTTTGCGTCCAGGCCCAGGGGGCAGGGTAGATGCCCAAAGTAGGAGGTGGAGGCTTCCCAGAGCAAGTGTGGGAATGGAGGCAGCCAAGCTTCCTACCATGAGGCTTGATGGATGGTGTCCACTGGTCTTGGCTGGGACACCTGCAGGGAATTATGAAAGGGTTAGAGGTCAGGGTGGTAGAAGCTCCCTAACGCCTAAGAAAATCAAGGCAGTACTGTGTTTCCTGCACAGCAGGCACATGAGTTGGGTTGAAGCAACCCTGGTGCTTAAGTATGTGGCCCCTGAAGCCTTGTGCATCTTTCAGTGTGTTTGTGTATGATGTCAATCAGTCCACACAGGAGTGGCTGGCATGTACCACACACTGAAGTAGGCAAAGGGGAGGCAGTAGTGAATGCACAATAATCCTACCTTCATGGACCAGGCTAGTGGAGGAAAGAGCAAAATAACCAAAAAATCATAACCATGGTAGTGCTGATATGGGGAACTATGAAAACCTTTAACTGGAAAACTGATTTAGGCTGAGGGCAGTGGCACATGCCTATAATCCCAGTGACTCAGGAAGCTAAGACAGGAGGATTGCAAGTCTGAGGCCAGCCTCAGCAACTTAACAACGTCCTTAGCAATTTGGTGAGATCCTGATTCAAAATGAAAAATAAAAAGGACTGTGGAAGAGGCACAGTAGTAAAGTGCTCCTGGGTTAAATCCCCAGTACCAAAATAAAACAAAACAAAAAATCATTTAGTCTAAAGGGTTACTTCTTCAAGGATCTAGGCCAAGGTGACTGTGGTGGGGAGAACACTCCCGGCAGTATGAACATCATGTGCAAAGGGCCGGAGGCAATTAAGAATAAGATTGAAGGAGCCAGTGAGGGTAGATCACAGGCAGCAGGCATGCAGCAACTGCAGGTTGGAATAGATACAAGCCAGGATGATGTACTGCACGGAAGATAGGATCAAATGCAGGAAGCATGCTCCAAGTACATAAACTCCATCGGGGATCAGCTACCGCTGGTATCTATCACCAGCCCCAGAAGTTACTGATGTAGCTAACACCTCACTAAAACAGTGACCTCTGGACCTTCCCCAGGAAGTCCCGTGAGAGGTCAGAATGGGAAGTGCTTCTTAGAGGAGCTTTTGGCCAAGAAAGTGGCCCCAGGCCAATGGGACAGGGAGCACGACCCCGKCAGTAGTGACCACTGGAGGGCGGTGCTCCCTTGGAGCCTGGACATTTAGGGTGCTGCTGCCAGGGCGGGAAGAGTAAGAGAAAGGAAAGCCTTGAATGGGAGCCAGGACTCGAAGACAGTCTAACCCACCCAACATCAGTGGCACCAATGTTGATGTCACTGTCACCGATTCGAAGCCCTGCTTTGAGCAGAAAGTGAGAGGAAAAGACGGGACCCTAGAAGAAGTGATTATGCAGGAAAGCCAGGGAGAACTGCGGAGCAGCCCAGGGCGGGAGGGAAAGCGCAGTTAGGGCTCGCCTTACTCAGGCAGGACGCGGGAGTCCGCGAGCAACCTGGGGGTAGCTGCGGGGTTCAGCCGCTCCACTGCCGCCTCTCGCCGACGGAGTCCAGGGCAGCCGCTGCCCGACCATGTCCTCCGCCAAGCGTTCACCGCCTCCGTAAGCAGCCCAAGCTTCCCTAAGTAGAGGCCAACCCAGCGCGCCACACCGACTCACCCTACCGGAGGCCAGCCCAAGGCCCGTAAATGCGCGACGCCGCCTGAAACGGGCCTCGCTCACGCACCCTGCCCACTTCCGGCCGTTCTGGCCCGCTCGGAGGTTCGGCCGTCTCGGTGGTTCCCAGCCCCGCCTCCCGGGTTTGAGAGGAAGGGGCGGAGCCGGAGCCCGAAGGAGAGGCAAATTGTATCGCGGTTTAGAGTAGGCCCAGGAGCTGGGCCAGGAGCTCGAGGAATAGGCTAGCGTCTGTGGCGGGCGGGACAGGGGCCACGGGGGTGTCGCTTACCGGGAGGGCGGGACAGGAGCCTGTCTGGACTAGACCGTGGGGAGGGCGTGGCTGAACCCTGGGGACGGCGGGGCCAGGAGCCTGAGAGACGCCTGGGTCAGAGGAGGGCGTGGATGAAAACGATAGTGGGCGGGGCCAGGCACAAGGGAGGTGGGCAGGGCCAGGAGCCAGAGGGCGGGGCCAGGGTCCGAGGAGGGCGTGGCTGGACCCCGCGCGCGAGAGAAATCGGGGCGGGGCCGGGCATCTCCGCGCGCCCTGGGTCGTGGGCTCCCGGGCTCCGGCCCCAACTTCTCGCCAGCTGAGCGCACCCCGGGCGAGGGGTCGCCTCGACCGGGCGCACCTCCTGTGGTCAGTCTCGGGCGCTGGTTCCCCACGCTGGCCCTGTCGCGGCGCAGTTGGTCAGCTTTTCATTAGCAGAAAACCCCGGTCGGCACGCCGGCGCCGCGCAGACGTCTCGGTTCAGGGTGGGGCCGTCGCCAGCTCCCGGGCAGTGGGCAAGACCGGTTGGGGGCAACAGGAGCCTGTTTCTTGTTGAATGCCGCCGCAGCGTCAGGGAGCGCTGGAACACGTGGTAAGCCCCCCAAAAGGAAGGCGGCGTCCCCCTTGCCCTCTCGGACCGAGCCGCCAGCTCAGGCCAGGGCGTCCTCTTGCTGAGCGGGGTCTCCCTGGCTTTCTTAGGATACTCAGGAGTTTGAGGCACCATCTGGCTGAACCTGCACGCCTCCCCATTCCAGGCAGTGGTGGACTCTGCTTGACCTTGGGCCGACTCCAGGCTCCCATCAGTGGATTAGCGCACTCAAACTCGCCTCACGCCGACCAGTGCCCAAATCCAGATCCCTCTGGACTCAGCCCCCTGCAGGGAGTCCCCGTAAGAGAATGTTCTAGTTCCTCTCCAAGCCCCAGGAAAGCAGTGTACTCCTGCCTTGAGCCTCCAGCAGCTCTCATGCCAGACAGGGAAGCACTGCCCCAGTGCCCTGATGCCTTCACAGAACCTTAGATCCAACCAGGCACACTGGCGTCTCTGGCCTACATGACAGAGCAAGTTTCATACTTCAGGGTCCTGAACTGATGGGGGCTGGCAACCCTGTACCCCAACCTGGTCTGCTCCTGCAAGCAGGGCACACCCAGAATAACACAAGGAGTGCAAGGGGGAGCTGACACATGGGTCTATAGAGAGCCTGACTTAGGATGTCCACAGGGTGGGCACCAGCCCAGTGTTCAGGTGATAGGGCACTGAGGCCCTGAAGGTTCTGTTTGGAGGTGGGGAAGGGGGCTGCCTCTTACCTCTGTATCCACTGCCGGGCGCTCCAGGGCCTCCACACCCCTTTTTGCTGAGCCTTGGTGCTACTGAGCTGTCAGAGACCCTTGCAGGGTTACAGTGTTCTCTGGGCCAGCCCAGATCAGTTTCCCTCGGATCCATCTGGGCTTGGGGTTTTAGGGCCCCTGGTTCTCCCTGAGTTCTTTTTGTTTCCTGAGTGACACAGAGTGCCTTGACTTAGGATTTGGCCAGCTGTTTTCCCTGTAGGTCTGAACCCAAGTCAGGACCTTGGATGTTCCTAGGCACCCATAAAGCTGCTTAAGTTGTTCCTCAAATATACTGGGAGATAACTTCTGTTCCTAAACAGGTAGGAACTAGCCCCAGACTTGAACTAAATCCCTGAAGCCCTCTTCTAAACTCCATAGCCAGACCCCCTCCTTGCAGACAAACTTTGGTAGAACCTATCTGGTCTCCAGGAAGCTGGGCCCTGTAAGTTCCCCTAGTAAGTGCTGAGGAATTAGTACTTCTTAACTTGAAATCAACTCGGGATGCTTTAGGGCACTCCCTTGTGGGAGTCCCCCTATATTGCCCTTGAGGTGTCTCCAGCCTTTCTTTTTTTTTTTTTTTTT